AGAGACGCTCAGACGCACGCACTGCAAGCGCGTCCGCCTCTCCTTCTCCCTCTCTGTATGTGTGCGTGTATATATATATATATATATATATATGGGTGAGCGGTGTCTGGAGGGGCGATGCTCTCAAGTTTTTTTTTTTTATCTTCATGTCTTCCGCTCTCTCCTCTGTGTGGTCTACCCCACCTCTTCCTCAGGCGTCTTTATTTTTATTTGTTTGTGTTGTGGTTCAATTCTTTTGCTTCTTCCACTTGCCTTGTGTCTTTCTGGTGTGAGAATGCAGGGGTGGGGTGGGTGGGCGGTGCTTGTTGACGCCACCTGCTTTCTTACGCCTGCACCAAAGCTGACGTGTATGCGTGCTTGCCGCGGTTCCCTTCTGGGGCCGGCATGCCCAACACGGCGACATGTAAGGGACTCATCGTGGCTGCAAGAAAATATATATATATATATATGTGGATTGGTCTTTTTCATTGGGATTTTTTTGTTTGTATTCCCACTGTGACTGTGCAGGCATACGGAAACGTACACATGGAGGTATAAACGCATCTTGGATGTCACTGTACATTGCAGATGCCATGTATTCACGTCTACTACTATTTATTTTATTTTTGACTTCCGCTCTTCTCTGTTTCCGTCCTTTTTTTTTTTTTGTGTGTGTGTGTGTGTATCTGTTGAGCGTTACCTCCGTGGTTGCATGGAGGAGTGCATGGTGGTGCCGGCACACCCGCCGCCCTCTCCATCCCAGCTGTATATACATAATATGTACACAGCTCGATCTATCTCTACCCATCTCGTCTCTGCCCATGCGATTACTGTTGGCATTATGTTCATTGTTAAAAACGAAGACAAAACAAAAGTATTCATGCTTTTTTTTTATCCTTCCCGCTCTAAACACATATACACATGCGTACATTACATGTATGTGTACCTCCGTACTGTCGGTTGCTAATAGACTGAAGTGTGTGCCAGTCACGGGTTTGTTCGGTGCATCTCTGCCACTGTACTGCATGCATGTACACCCCTGTCCGTCAATGGCGTCCCAACTTCATTATATAAATATCGGCGGGGAGTACAAATATATATATATATATATACGCACGCACACACATCTTGAATTCTCTACACGCTGCACGAGTCTTTTCTCTCCATCTTTTGCTTTTTTTTTTTTCTGCTCTCTGCAGCTCTTCAGCGTTGGGCGGGCTCACGCGAGGGGGGCAGCTGGGGAACCAAACAAGCCGAAGAAAAGACAGGTACGGGAAGGCGACGTAAGAAGAACAAGACGGAAAGGAAGGGACACACGAAAACAACAACAAAAGAACCTTCTGTTCTCTGTACTGCTAGGCCTCACACACTCTTTTGTTTTTGTTTTGTTATTATTCTCTTGCCATTATTGTTATTTATAGCATCTCCTGCATATTTGCCTGCGAGTGTGTGTGTGCGTGTGCGTGGTCTGCAAAAGTCCTGGCTGCACCGTGGCAAGAGCATAGGAAGGATACATCGAGTTGTGTATTCCCTTTGTCCCAGTCCCAGCCCGTGTGTGTATCATTGCTTTTTGTCTTGCGCGTGCATCTTTGCACTCTTTGGACCGGTGCCAGATGAGCTCGATGCCGTCTCATGTGCGTATCATTGTCCGCACGAGGCCCACTGACTTTATTGCAGGCAATCTTAGCATCCAGTCAAAGGGGACGCTGCAGATCACTCGAAGAGCGGCGGCAGGCGTGGGGAATAGTGAAGTGTCGTCGTCGTCACCTACGGCCTCTTCGACGCCGGAGAATCTGACATTTACCTTTGGTGCAGTGCTGCACAACGCCTCGCAGGAGGCGGTGTTCGAAGCGACAACCGCCGACCTGGTGGATTCTGTGCTCCAGGGCTTCAACTGCACGCTGCTTTGCTACGGCCAGTGCGGGTCCGGGAAGACCTACACCCTGTTCGGCGGCAACACCTACCCCACGCGAGGGTGTGTTCCGCGCGCCATTCAGGCTATGTTTGAAACCATTGCGGCGTCTTCGGATCACGAGTTTAAGGTGAGCCTCACCTTCGTTGAGGTGCACAGCGATCAGTTGTTTGATCTCCTGGGAAAACTGCCGCTCGCTTCTACGAGACCCGGCGACAGGAACAGAAACGCCAACAAAGTCTCCGTGACACTTACTGCCACCGGAGAGGTGGCACTGCGTGGGGCGGAGGTGCGGCAATGCACCAACGAGGCCGAGGCCCTGACGGCTGTCTTTGAGGGCATGCAGCGGCGCATGACCAGTGTGAATTCTCTTAACCAGCGTGGCTCACGCTCGCACGCGGTACTTACACTTTACGTGGAAAGTAAGAGCCTGGTAGACAGCGACGCCCTCGTTCATCATTCCCAGATTGACTTTGTGGATTTGGCTGGCACGGAGCGGCCAAACATGGTGGAAGACGAGGTTGCGAAGCGAGAGGCAAAGATTGTTAACCGTTCCCTTATGATGTTTGAGCAGGTTGTTTTGGCTCTCTCGGGCCCTCAGTCGCGTCATGTGCCGTACCGCCAAAGCAAACTTACCATGCTGTTGAAGAACTCCATTGGGGGTACCAGCCGAACGACTCTCATTGCCAACATATGGCCCGAAGAGCGCAATACCGAGGCCACTGTGGCAACGTTAAACTTTGCCAAGCGGCTATTGCGAATTGAGTCAAATCCCACCGTGCATGCCTCCATGGACCCAGAAGCACACATCAAGCAACTTCAGAAGCAGGTGCTCAGCCTAAAGTCCGAGTTACGCATGCAAGATCAACTGGCTGGGCGGGAGGCGTTTTCTACTGCACCTCTGGACGGCGACGAGATGCAAATGGCACGGGGGCGTGTCATGGACTTTGTGGACGGAACCGCTCCGCAGGTGCGTGTGGGCTCTGTGCGGGAAATGCATGCCTGTTTTCTGGCCCTCAAGACAATTCTGGGCGAGCGTGACGCACAATTGAAGGAGATGGGGCGGCAAATGGCAACATCGTCACGCCCTTGTAGTTCCGGAAGCAATAAGGGCATCACGAGGCAAAAATCGGCCTCAAAGCAGCAAGGCTTGACCGTTGCGAAGGAACCGACCAAATTTGTGGCTAGCATTGAAGATGTCGAGGCTGGCGTGAGTGTGGGCACGACACAGCGACCAAGTGCTGTGATCCAAGACATGTTTTTTCAGCAGCGAACGCTCGGCCCTTCTACCATGTCATCAACGATGCAACCCGGAGTGAGGGAGCGGAGCTCTGACGTACGCTCCGCCGCCGCCGTCACACCCGTTTCCACACTTGCAATGACAACAGCAACAACAGCGGTGACCATGACCCCCACTGTCTCCCGCGCCGTTACACCCGCTGAAGCAACAACCCCCGTATCCACCAACACTGCCAGGGTGGCAGCGTGCCCGCCCCCAGATGGAGATTTGCTGAAAGCGCAGCCCTGTACACAACGCGTTTTTACGTGTCCCTTCACGGAAAAACAAGACAATATTTTTCCGCTGCTTGAGCGCTCAACTGCTGAAACAGGCACTCCACTTTCAAGGTTTTTGGGACGGCAGGATAACTTGATACGCGACCGACGCGCGGCGTTTGAGACGTACAAGCGGACAAGCAGCGGCGCTTGCCAGTTGAAGTCTATAGATGCTGTCCGAAACCTTTTGGCGGAGAAGAATGAGTTGATATTGCAGTTTCAAAAACGATTGAACGAGATTCAGGCCAAAAGGGAGACAAGTATGAAAGTTGAACAACCGCAGAGCACAACGGTGGAAGAGCGCGTGACGGCACGTTGCACCTCCTCAGATGCGGTGCGCTCATCCCCCGCCTTGTTGGAGGACTGTTGCAGCGGTCATGATGACAATGTGAGTTCTGCTGATGCGTTTTTTGCGTCAGACAGGGAAAAAATTTCTCGCATGACGTTGGAAGAAAGGAAAGCCTTTTTCAACGTCACGAACAATGCACTGAAGCGGGCAATGGTGGAGCGTGGGCATCTCGTGAGGCAGCTTCAGCGCTACTGTGAGGCTTTCATGAAAAACTTTCAGTACTGGCACCAGTCCAAACTTCAGGCGGCATTGCCAGGGCATGGGGGAAAGGCAGTGGCAGCGGCGACAGTAGGGGCTGCTTCAGCGGATACGGACGTCAAGGCCTTGCCAAATATAGCCAGCTTGCCGGTTACACGCGCCTCATGTGTCGCAGCACATGGGGAGGCCGATTTGCAGTTTACGGGCGCTGCTGGGCGCCTTGACGCGCAGGAGGTGCGATGGCAGGAGCAGCAGTTACCGGAAAGCGCGGCTTTCTATATGGCACAGGGGCTTGCGCGGAAGGGGCTACAACTGCCGGAGTCAACACCCCCCCTCTCTCCCTCTGTGTGCACGCACGCGGAAGCAAGCGGGAGGAGCACGAGGCAAAAAATAAGCGCGAAGAAGCATCTCTGAAGAAAGAAAGAAGAATGCAGTGGGGAAGTAAAACGACAACAACAAATCAATGAACATGTTTTATAGTTGAAACGAAAACAAAAATAAAACAAAGCAATGCAAAACAGACGATTACCAAAGGAGGGAGGTGGCCACCATCAAAATAATAATAAAAAAAAAGATGCAGTGACAGGTGGCATAGCCACCTGTCGGTTATGTACATATTTTGTTTTCTCTCACCGAACTCCACCAAAGGACTGTTTGACGGGCGAAGCAGGGAGAGGGAGAGCGTGTCTGTATTTGTGTGTGCTACAGGGGTGGCTTCTGCTTTAATCATCATACCTCCTTTTATGATTTCCTTTTTTATATATCATTATTATTATTATCATTGCAGTGGATGGATTCGAATCCGTAGAACTTACTGTATATGCCCATCGTATATAATATATAATATATATATCTTCCTGTTGCTGTGTCGCAGGGTGCCTGTTTGTGCAATGTGGGCGTGGCACTGGATGCGTCCCGTGAGGGGGGATGCCGACACCTTTACTCTCTCCCCATTGGTGCCCCTCTCTGATGCTGCTGATGGCAATAAAATACCGAAAATAGAAGAAAAGAAAAAGGAGGGAGCAGGGCGTCTGTGGCGCCCCAGGCACCGCAAGGCAGGAACAGTTGCGCAAACGCAAGGGTGAGGCGAAGAAGGAGGTCCCACTTTCGTCTTCCCGCTCGCGCCTGCGCGCTCCTGAGCACACACACAAGGGGGCACAAAGGATGGATGTTGCCCCGGCGCTTGCGAAAGAGATTGTGCGACGGCTCCTGAAACGCACGAATGAGTCTACGGCGCTGAATGTCACGGAGGAGCTGGCAACCTTTGTGGTGCGGCTTTCACTCTTCAACTCCCCGCAAAGCGATGGAAAAGGAAACGTTGCGGAAACGCCGGAGGCAATTGAGTTGATGGCGGAAACGCTATCAAACTACTTTGCCAACTGTTCGCCGCACGTGCTGGCGACTCTCTCGCTGCAGTGTCAAACGGCGGGGCTACTCAGCAGATTTGTGAAGAAGCGTCGCAATGATCAGGTGAAGCAGGAGGCGGTCACACTACGCCTGCTGGGTTCCCTCTGTGAGAACTCTACACGCCTGCCGGAGGAAATACTTAGTGAGATAGCCTTTTTTATTCTGCACCGCTACCGTCAACTGAGCGCCACCCAGGGGAAGCTGGGGCCGACGGGAGGAGACCGTGGGGGTCCTGCACGCCGTGCTACCGCGGTCACAAGTTCGGGATTTTGCAAATCAGACAGCGGAGGAAAAGAAGCAGCAGTTGGAGGAGCTGCGCCGCATTGTGTGGGGTATTCGCTTGTACAACAAGGCAGAGGGACGCATGGAGGGGGCGGGCCTCGTGGCGCCGAGGGAAACAGCGGAAAAGTTTTTGAATGCGTTGGATAGCTGCATTTTACAAGAAACTCACGCCGTCACCGCCGTTTGCGCGGACTACGTGAAGTTTCTCCGTTCTCCATCAGCACCCGTCAGCAACCCTGCGAGGCAGGCGATTTGCGAGGAGTACCATCGTCAACTGCAGTTTCTTCTAAACCTGCGCACAGCACGAGAACGGCTGGATGCCCTCTCCGCCCGCATCTACACAGAGTTCCTCCCCGCCTATGAGAGGGCACTCACGGAGCTGCAGGCGGTGCTTGGGGTGGGGTCGATGCGTTCCGACGGCTTAACGCTGCGCAGTCACGTGCCGAAGCGCATTGTCTATCCAAAATTTATTGCTCTTGCAGAGGCCTACGAGGAAGTGGAGCAGAGTTTTGAGGGGTTTGACGAAATCCAGGCCTTGCTGGATGTCTCCTTGTCTCTCGGCAAAATACAAAAGACGTCATTGCCGCCAACAATCCTGGCAGAAGCCGTGGCTGCCTCGAAGGATACGACGGCCGATCGTGCTGCTCTCGCAGCTGCCATTGCCGCACAGGAGGCGTCAGTGCTTCTGCAGTACGCTAAGGATGCTAGCGAGCTGGCACAGTACGGTGCATTGCGTGCGATGAACGGGCTGTGCCCGGTGAGTCTTGTGGAAGAGGGCATATGCGTGCAGGGGCACACGAATGAGGAGGAAAGCGCATTTGCCGGCTTTATTGTTTGTTCGCTGCCCGACAGCACACGAGGCGACTGGTACGCCTTTTCCTCTGGATACGCGTTGCGGCGGTTTGTGGGGGCGCCGCTGTGGTTCATTGAGGGCGTGCGGCATCTGGTGCAGGAAGATTTTGTGCTTGTCGGCCTGCTCAATCTCTTCAACCACGTCCCGCGGGAGTTGTACATCAAGGGCACCCGCATCTACGAGTCACGCGAGGCTCTCATCACAGCGAAGGTGCGTCAAGACGCCTGCACGCAGACGGGACAAAGAGACCCTTACATGGATCACAATTATCGCTGGAACGAGTGGGACCTGCGGCGCCAAGCACTGAAGCTCGTCAACCTCCTCAACATGCGTACACACTCGACCCAGACGATTGCCTCTCACTTCCGCCGTGATAACACCACGCAAATACGTCCACCTCGTGACGACGCGACGCAGACGATGCAGGACGCCGCGGTGCAGCCACCACGCACGGTGCAGTACCTTAAGGGGCTGCGGGGTACCCAGACCTCCGCGATAGAGACTGTCCAGCGGACCTTCTTGTACTAGCCAAAGGAGGAGGGGGGAAGGTGCTGGGGCTGTGGCGGCTACGGGGTTTCACATGTGAATTGAAATCATTATGTACGGTAGATACTAAAGTGGGATGGAAGAGAGGCAAGCAAGCACACAAACTAAAAAAAAAAAGATTAAAAAGTGACTGGGGTTTTTCTTCTTTTTTTATTTTGTTTTTTGTCCGTGGAAGCTTTTCTGCTTGTTGCTTCTGCCTCATTTCTTTGTCTCTTTCCTCGGTTTACGGTACGAAGGAAACAAGGAAATATATATATATATATATATACATCTATTGGCAGTAACCCACACAGAACGATGCCAGGCAAAAGTATAGAGGATCGGCTTGTGGAGCGCTTCATGCGGTACTCCGCCATCCCAAGCCAGAGCAACCCGAATAATGTCGGTAAGTGCCTGCCAACGTCTCCTGGGCAGCAGGAGCTTGCGGAGCTCATTGCCGCAGAGCTGCGTGCCTGCAGCCTGCTTGACGTCGTGTGCGACAACCACGCGACCGTGACGGCGGTTAAGCCGGGCCGCAAGAGGGATTGCCCGACAATAGGCTTCATTGTTCACCTCGACACTGCCCCAGTTGGCCTCAGTCCGGTGGTGCGGGCACAGAAGTTGCGCTACGAGGGTGGGGATGTCTGCCTCAATAAGGAACAGGACATTTGGCTGCGGGCGGCGGAGCACCCCGAGATTGTACCGTACGCCGGCCAGGAAGTTTTATTTGGCGACGGCACGAGTGTTCTTGGCGCGGATGACAAGGCCGCGGTGGCGTCGGTGATGGAGATGATCACAAGTCTGCGGCCGGAGGACGAGCACGGCGACATCATTGTCTGCTGCGTTCCAGACGAGGAGGTTGGACTTGTGGGCGCCAAGCACCTTGACGTTGCTTCCCGCTTCAACGTGGATTTTGCATATACAATTGACTGCTGTGAGCTGGGTGAGGTGGTGTACGAGAACTTCAACGCTGCCGCCGCTACAATCACATTTACCGGTGTCACAGCACACCCCATGTCGGCGAAGGGGGTGCTGGTGAATCCGTTGCTGATGGCCGTGGATTACATTTCACGCTTTGACCGCAGCGAGACGCCAGAGGTCACGGCGGGAAAGGAGGGCTACCACTGGTTTGCGGAGATGACTGCAAACCAAAACGAGGCCGTTCTCCACGCGATGGTGCGTGACTTTGACGGGGCGAAGTTTGAGAAGCGGAAGCAGAAGCTGCACACGGTGGCTAACGAGATCCAGCAGCTGCACCCCACCGGCCGCGTGCAGGTGCACGTGGCAGACCAGTACCACAACATTGCCGACGCCCTCGGCAGCGATCGCACGGCGGTGGACATCATCTTTGAGGCGATGCGAACTGTGGGGGTGGATGCGAAAGTGACAGCGATGCGCGGTGGAACGGACGGGGCGGTGCTCTCCGCGAAGGGCATCGTGACGCCAAATTACTTCACCGGTGCACACAACTTCCACTCAAAGTTTGAGTTTCTGCCGGTTCCGTCTCTGGTCAAGTCGTATGAGGTGACGCGGCAGATTGTTCTTCAGGCGGCCAAGCGCGTGAAGCCGCCGCGGTGTCGGGGGCGGATGGGATGAACGGCCGTGCGTGCGTGCGTGTGTGGTGTTTTGTGACGGTCTCCGCCTCAATTTTTTTTTTTTATTTATTTCTCGAAGGTCAATGAGAATGCGCACACACACACAGAGAGAGAGAGAGGGGGACGAGGCGTCCTTCTTTCCCTCCTCCCATGAAGGCTGGCAGAAGAGGCAAGGCGTTGGTGGGAGGGAGGGAGGGAAGGTACGAACGTTTGCCGCTTTTTTTTTTCTCTTTTTTTTTTTACATTTTACTTCGGCGTGTGTGTGTGAAACCGTGCAGGGCGTCTCTGCATGCACGCCATTTTTATTTCTGCGTTTGTCATTGCGCGAAAAAACGGTGCCTTCGCAATGTTGTATTTCTAAAGGAACTGCGGCGTCCTCTTTTTTTTTTTCTTCTTTTTTTCTTTGTTTTTAAGCTGTGCCGCACGACAGGGCGGTGTAAGCCGCCCCCCTGCTCCCGGTTGGCTTTCTTTGTGTGTGGGTTCCGCGGCGCTGTGGACATTCCGCCCGCCTCTGCTTTTGCTGGCCGAGGCAACCGACCCACGTTGCGGAAATAACCCACCATCTTTTTTTTTTTTGCTACTTCTCTTCCCCTGTGCGTACCAGCGGCCTCAGCCTACACCCGCGTGCGCCGCCAAACAGTGAGCATTCACCGCAAACGAAAAGATAAGATCAAGCAAGGAGGGAACAGGTTGTGAGTGGGAGCAACAATAAAAAGAGGGAAATACGGCATTGAAGGAGGCAATATCAGTGAATAGAGAGGGAGTGAAATGAGCGACTCGCTTGTCTTACTGCAGTCCCTGACACCGCTTGACGTCAAGCAGCTTTCGAGGGAGCAAAAGCGGCAGCTTCTACGACAGCACCGCGAGCACCCATCCCGCAATGCGAACGTTGTGCTTCTGCTAGGGACGGATCTTCTTGCTGGCGGCACCGGTGGCATGGGTTTCGCAGAGCTGTCGTGCATCTACGAGCAGGTCCTTATTGCTGCGCTGGACTGCGGCAGAGTGGACAGAGCGCGGCAGTACCTCGCAGTCCTGCAGAAATGGTTTGGAAAGCAGTCGCTGCGGGTGCGACATCTTGAGGGGTTGTGTTTGGAGGGGGATGGCAAGGCAGCAGAGGCGGAGCGTTTGTACCGCGCCATCCTGAAGGATAACCCATCAGACCAGCTTTCTGTTCTGCGCCTTTCCGCCATGTTGAAAAGTGAGGGGGAGTACCGGAAGGCCATTGACCTCTTAGAAAAGCAGCAGGTTTACGTCGATGATAACGGTGAAAAGCACACCTTGCTGGAGGTACACCGCGGCGACAGTGTCTCCACCTACCGTGAACTCTCTAACCTCTACTATCTCTGCGAGGACTATCACATGGCTCTTCACTACGCCGACGAGGCGATGTTGTTCAACGGCAACGACTACCTTTCTCATACCCGACTGGCGGAGCTGTACTACATTGTAGGCGACCACAGACGCAGCCTTGTCGAGTACGCGCAGTCGCTGCGTCTTAACGGCCACGCGAACAACTGCAGGGCCGCCTACGGCCTTTGGGTCACCGCCAACGAAGTCGTGCGGCAGGCGAAGTCGACCTCGAAGCGGTCGGACAGCGAACAGGAGACGGAGGAGGTGGTGGAGCTGCGTGCGTGGGCGGAGAAGAAACTCCTGGAGATCTACGAGGGCAGTCCGATGCTTTCCGCAGTGCAGGCCATGCTGCAGCGCGGGGCGTGAGTGGAGCTCACATTCACACCGAAGAAAAGTAACGAAGAAGAAGAAATGAAATGAAAGCAAGTTCGCCAAGGAAGGAGGCGGGATACAAGGAAACGGTTGCAGATGGGAACTGCCACCGACGGCAGCGCCGCCGCATGGGAGGAGCTGCAAAGGCGCCTACGTGCATTGAAGGGGAGCAGCGGTGAAGAGCGGCCAGGACCGCATCGGTTGGGGTGCACCCCGCCCCGCCTCAGTGGCTTTTGTCGGTGCCACGATACATGGAGTGGACTGTTGGTAAAGTAACGTAATAGTGAGGAAGACGAGGCAAGAAGGAGAACAAGAACAACAAAGAGTCATGAACTGAGAGGGTCAAAACAAGGAAGGAAGGAAAGAGGGAAGACAGACGAGAGGAAATTAATGGGGTGGGGCAAGAGAAACCACCAAAGGCACGACACAAAAAAAAAAAAAGAAGGTAGGCGCACCCACAAGAGAGACTGGTGGAAGTGGCAGTGGCGCGTTCCAAGGCGCAACCGTTGCACCCCTGCAGTTTCTTCACGGAAGCGCCTTTTTTTTATCTCACTTTGCCCCCGCATCTGTCTTTTCCGAGACAATAAAACAACGTAATGCAGGGGGCGATGCGCACCACTGCCGTGAGGTGCCCGTCCGTATTTGATGAGCCGTTTTTTTTTGTTTTTGCTTTTGACGTGGTGTGCACATGAGATGTTACTTTGCTTTTTTTTTTTTCTTGCTGTTTCTCCACGTCTCCACTTTTCACTTCACGTTGTAGCAGCAGTAGACTGCAGGGACGGTGTGGAGGCCCTTCCCCATTGCACCGGAGATACAAACTGCACGCTTAGCAGTTCACTGCAGCGCCACCACCGCCCTGCCGCTCCCACAATGAGCGAGTTGGGTGCGTCGACGAGTGAAACGTACACTCAGCAGTCATCTACGCTCATCTCCTCCAAGCTGGCACCCTCTGCCGCAGCTGTATCGGGTAATCCCGCAGCCACGCCCACAAGGTCAGCTCCGGCTGCTGCAACTGCAACTGTAACTGCAACTGCCGCGTTGGCACCTGACCGCCGAGAGCAGCGGAAGGCGGCGGAAATGGTTGTGGCTGATGTGCGCGGAACGGTGGAGTATCGTGCGGCGTGGGACGTGGAGCTCTGGAAGGCCATTCAGACTTCGCGGCTGCGGCGGGAGTTAGAGGAGCAGAAAAAGAAGGCTCTCGCAGCGCTGGCAAAGTTTGTCAAGTCGAGGGAGCAACAGGCGATGGAGAGCTGCGAGCTGCGGGAGCGAGAGAGTGGACGCCGAGAGCAGCGGTTGGTGGAGGAGGAGAAGCAGATAGAGAAGCGAAAGTGGCGGCTGGCGGAGATGGAGAAAGACATGCGAAACATCCGTCAGCAGCTGGTGGAGGCGCGGCGGCGTGCGGAGGCCGAGGCGCAGGCGGAGGTGAGGCGGGCGAAGGAGGACGCCGCCCACGCGGTGGCGCTGCAGGAGCAGCGCATACAAGCAGCAGAGGCACACACGAAGCGTGCAGAGGAGCGGCTGCAGCAGACGCAACGCGACTACCTGATGCTTTCAGAGGAGTTTCACCGCTTCCGCACACGGGAGCTGGCGGCGCCGCCTGAGAAGTCGACCAGTATTGAGGCGCGGCTGCGGACGGAGTTTGCGATGGAGCAGCAGGCGTTGCAGGATCGTCTTGAGCGGCGACACGCGGAACGTGAGGAGCAGCTGACGCGGCGTTGCCGTGAACTTGAAGAGGAAAACAGGCGACTGACGGCGTTGGCCACCAAACGCAAGGAGCAAATGCGGCGCGGCACGGAAGAGGTGGCGCGGCTCACGTCAGTGAACAACGCTTTAGAAGGCCGACTTAGGCAACGTTCAGCGAGGGACATTGCTGCGGAAGCCGCGGACGCCAGAAAAACGGAGAAACAAGTGGTGATGGGCGACGCGACTCCGCAGATTCCGGCCGTTGATGTCCTGCCTATTGCAGAAGAAATTGAGCGGCTACGTTGTGAGCGTCGGGCGATTCTGGAGGGCAGCGCGGGGGCGCTGGACGTGGACAGCGACGTGGTACGCTGCTTGGACGCGAAGATTAACGACATGCTTGAGCGGCTGAACGGCCGGGGTCCGTCGCTGTAGCCGGTGAGAGGCTGCTGAGTGCCGTGGCTGCTTTCGGCGTCGCCACCCATAGAGAAGATGATCCCTGTTGTCTGTGTGTTTGTGTGTGTGTTATCCCCCCCCCCTTTCTCTTTTTATCTTGTTTGTTGTGTTTGCGCCGGTTGCCGTTCGATGTTGGCTCCTCATCGGGTACCTCCCCCTTTTTTTTATTTTTATTTTTCTCTCTGCCACATCCTGTGCGTCTTGGTGGCGGCGGTGGCAATAACAATAATATGGTAGGCAGCACAGTGCAGTGGCAGTTGCGTCGCGTCAATGTCCTCCACTGCGTCGCATCCCCCGTTTAAGTCCGCTGCGTTTCGCCGCGGTGCGTTGGGCAGCCCCGCACCGACGACGGTGGGTAACGACCATAACATCAACGACAGTGATGTCCGGCGGCCTTTCATCGTGATTGCGCCGCCAGCAGCACCCCCCGTGCCGGCACTCCAGCGAGGAAAAGAGTGGCGCCCTTACCCCAGCGTGCCTTTTTATGCCACGATGCAAGGCCTGCAGCTGGTGATGGACGTGGCCGGACCCGAGGAGGACGCCAGTGACGATTTGAATGATGCGGAACTGCTAAATAGCCTTCCGACGCTGCAGACACTTTTACAAGGGGCTGCCACAAAATACGGCAGTATGTACTACCTGACTTCTCTGCAGGCAAGCCGCAATCCTTTGCTTTATCCTGCAGAGGCATCCCGGTGGCATACTGGGGTCTCTACGGCTGCTTCACTCGTGGCAACCACCGAGCTGGACTACTGGAAGTACCTCCAAGCCCTACAGGATGTCTTTTATCGCTTCACTGAGCTACGTGATCGCTGTTGCACTGAATTTTCACAGAAGCTCTGCACACACCATATTTTCTTTGTGCACCTCAGAGACCATCCTCGGCTAAAGGATCTCATGGCGATGCTGGCGGTTGAGCAGGCTCGCCTTTGCTTCTGCCTTTGCGCTTCTTCAAGGGTGACACAACAATACTTTACACAGCGCGCGCAGGATGTGGGGGTGGAGCTGGAGTGGGTGTTGGGGTCTGCGTTAGTGACGGAGCCGGATAGTTTGACAATGACGGAGGTCAACCCCGTTTTTGCTTTATGGGACGTGTTTGTGAACCTGCCGCTGCACACCACCTCGCGGACGCAAGAGGTGGGTGACGTGGCGGCAACAGTGCTGTCTCCCGACGGTGTCATCGCCGAGCGCTTTTTGCGAAACGTCAGTGTGACACTTGTTTCCTCGCTACGCTTCGCTGGTAGTGAGTGGAGCGCCCCTGCGATGCGGCTGTGCGAGGTGGGGCAGCTCTCGGAGAGTGGTCGGCGCCGACTAGTCTGGTCGTTGGTGGCAACCCCGTGTGTCGTGCTGCCGCACCTTGTGGTGGGCCTCGTGCGGTGCCTCGTCGAGGAGAGCCCTGTCGACTACTTTGAGATGCGATTCACACACGAACATGCCGCAGCTGCCGGGATGGACGCTGCAAAGGGCGCGGGCCGTGGCGTCGCGTGCGTGGCGGGAGCTCGCCATGGGGTAACGCAGCGTAAGAGTGCCTCCTCCACCAGCAGCAATAATTTGCGCGCGTTTAGCCGCCTCAGCGCTGAGGCGTGGCTTTCCGACGATGACCGCCGGCATTACGGTCTTTTTCTGGAAGATGATCCGATTCCATTGGAATGCGAGTTCACGATGGAGGCGCTGCGCTACCGCCGGCAGATGGGCCGCACATATCCCGCGACAGATGAGGAGTTACTGCACCCGCAGTGCTGGGGATGCAGCTTCCAGATGGAAAACCACGTGGAATGCATTTTGGCCGACGACGAGGGGTGAAGGAAGGGCACGGACTTGGGCTGGAGGCGGGAAAGGAGCACCTTCTTGCAGCTCCTTCACGACCCTGCAGAGGCCGAGATTCTGTGGAGGAGGATGATACGTTCTGGAAGAACGACGAGCGTAAGCGCAAACAAACATGCAAAAAAGAAAAACAACAAAAACAAGAAACAAAACAGTTGTGGTGCGTTGCAGTCTGTCTGGGAGGAGGACGGTTTGCGCGGCATTCGTTTCATGTCTTTATCTTTTCTTTTCTTCTTTCTTTCTCTTTCTTATCTTTGGTGTTCTTCTTCTTGACGATGTGATTTAGGATTTCTTGCGGTTACGTTTTCTGCCTTTTTTACGTTTACCCGCCGTGACAGTTCAAGGTGGGCGGAAGTCATGACGGCAGTGCCATTGTTGCTGCTGTTCTTGCTACTGGGTTGCATCCCGCCTTTTGCCGTGGCCCGGCAGCACATCGTCTTGGATGTGGATGGCTCAGTAGAGGACTACGCCTCACTCACAAGCATTGCCCAGAACCCGAACCTGCGCAGCCAGTTGAGTCTTATTACCGTATCTGGGATGACATGGGGCCACGCCGCGACGTTGGCACGCAATCTCTGCCGCTTCCTTTCGCTTGCGCAGTTGGAGGCTGTTACTGTGTCGGTAGGGGCACTGACAGCGGCGGCCGATGAGTACGACGCGTCAGTGTCGCGCGGTGGGTGTGGTCACAGCCAGGGGTTTCCCTCCACCCCACACGATGCGCTGCGTCGTGGCATGACGTACTCCCGTGCCGATGTTACAAACTCCTTCGGCGCGGCCTATAGTCTCCCCCCTAAGTCATGTAAAGTGGAGGTGAGTGCATCGCAGGCGCTTTACGATATGCTCGCTGGCATGTCTGCCGGCGATACCGTGGTTTATCTCGCTTTGGCCAGTTCCACCAACTTGGCATCGGCGCTGAGGTATTTGGGTCGCCGCGACCCTGCTTCTCTGCAACGATTTAAGCGGTCGGCGGTGGTGCACTTCCTTGAAAAGGGATACAGCCTTGCGGTAGATAACACGTCCACCTCTTATGTGCTGGCAGAACCCGGGTTGCGTATTGTGCTTTACCTGCCCTCCTTCTACGACCCCGCGGTTACCTTCTCGGTGAGCTCGTGGAGTGAGCTCAGCACCATGGCGAAGGCGAGAGACATCTCTAGGGCTGTGAAGTGGCTCTTCGGCGCATGGGAAGCTAAAAAGGCTCTCGTCGAGTCCCGCAGCAACGACGCCCACACGGCGTTTTTTAGGGAAGGCGGTCCAGCGAGCAGTCTGGTGACGCTCTGCGCCCTTGACGCCACCGTGCGAGCCAGCTGCACCACGTACCGCACGGCGTTGTCTAGTGTGTCGCTTCATTTGGCGCAACCTACGCACGCTGGGGCTGGCACGGTGCAGTATAGAATCACAGGCAATAATGTGACATGGCCGTCCTACCTGCTGGCAACGCCGCGGGACGGCCTTGGGGCGACGCACTACCTTGTTGCGCAGCCAGCCGATCGTTTTATGCCACCCGCCGCTACTTCTTTGGCGTCCGTCTTCATGTCTGTGTGGTCGGATCTCCTGCGGTCGTAGGTGGGACAAATATTGCAGTTTTTGAGGTGGAAGGATGTTTTTTTTTTTTTCTGCTTGTGGCGTTAGCGGAGGGGTGGCGGTGAAGCTACGGTTGCGTGCGGGCTGCTGCATGGCCTCCACCATTCTGTGCCAGGCATGCTGTGATAATTCCCACTGCCTGCTTGCAGCGTGCATGTCATCTTGCCGCATTCCTTTCCGTTTTGTTCTTCGCGACAGCAAGAGGGCTGTCGATCACGCCTTGTGTGGAGTAGGAAGGAAGGAAGAAATAAAAAAAAAAAAGAGGAAAAACAACAACAACAAAAGGGGCGGGGGAACGGAAACGTACAGGAGCGCAGAGGACATCAGCACCGAGAAGAAAAGAGCAAGCGAGAAAGAAGAAAGCTCCAGCAGCAAGAAAAGGCGAGGCAAAGAGAAGAAGAAGAATAAAAAGCGCGCACACACAAACATACAAGGAGACATATTTTATTACATTACATCCTAAAGGCGCTGCCAGCCATGGGTGCTTGGCTCTCTCGGCTGAAGTCGGCGTTGGGGTTTTTACCAGCAGACAAAAAGATTCGTGTACTTATTTTAGGTCTCGACAATGCAGGGAAGACGTCTATTTTGTACCGCCTGCAGTTAGGCAACGTTGTGTCCACTGTTCCCACGGTGGGGTTTAACCTGGAGACGATGCACTACAAGAATATTTCGTTTGAGGTGTGGGATTTGGGCGGCCAGGCCAATATTCGGCCTTTTTGGCGCTGCTACTTTACCGACACCGACGCCATTATTTACGTTGTGGACAGTAGCGACAAGGATCGTATGGGGGTCGCCAAGCACGAGTTATACAATCTCCTAGACGAGGACGAGCTGCGGGCGAGTCTCCTGCTTATCTTCGCCAACAAACAGGACATGATGGGCGCGGCGAGTGAGACGGAGGTTGCACAGCTGCTCGGGGTCGCATCTCTGACGAGCCACACCTGGACTATAGTGAAGAGCAGCGCGAAGACAGGCGAGGGACTTATTGAGGGCATGGATTGGCTCTGCGACAAGCTGCGAGAGCGGGGCACCGTCACCAATGCCCCGTAGGCGTTGTCATCATTCAGGTTCTACGTGCGTCGGCACAGATGGTACTGCGTGTGACTATTTTTCTCATTGCTGTTGTTTTTGTGTTTCATTTGTTTGTACGTATTTCATTGGTGTTTGTTTTCTGGTTTTGGACCGTTTGTGTGTGTGTGGTTGAGTGGGCGGGGGGATGCCTGTGTGGCCGTGATAGAGATAAAATGTTTTTCGCGCCCCCCTTTCCACTTCAGTGAACAGCTTTCCCGTATTTCTTTGTTCCATCCCTCTTTTTAATACTTTTCATTTTTGTCGTTGTTTGCTCCCCAACCTCCTTCGTTTGCAGCAGCCCCATACAACTGCCTTAATCTGAAATGGGGTAGGAGCGGGCGCGTGCCACTTGTTTTTTTTTTTTTTTTCGTTTTTGTCTGTTGTTGTCTTTTCCCCTTTTGTCCTCCGCTTTCTCTCTTCGTTTGTTTGGGCCCCTTGACATTTCACCAAAGTACATTACAAAGTGGTCTTCTGGCGAGGCGGGGCCTAGCGAGAGGGACACGGAGAGAAGAAAGTATATATATATATATAATATAATATAATATATATATATATATATTGTATGCCACATAGGAAAGACTGCAAATGGATTTCCAGGCATTGCAGTCGACTTTGACGGAGGCGCGTTCTGGTCCCTCTTCGTCAAAGCCTGTTTCATTTTATGAACGTTACGAACTCGTTGAGGAGATTGGAAAAGGGGCGTACGGAACTGTGTGGAAGTGCCATCGTCGGCTTGACCCGATGCAGTGCCCGTACGGTGTAAAAATTATCAACAAGAAGCAGGCGGGCTCCAGAGGGCTCAAAGAGGTGATGGGGGAGGTGGAGACGATGAGTCTCCTCGTCCACCCGAACATTGTGCGGCTTGAAGAGACCTTTCAAGATGAGGAACATCTGTGGATTGTGATGGAGTATATGCCGGGAGGAGAGTTGCGGACCGCCATTATCCGAGATGGTAGTTTTAGTGAGACAAAGGCGCGTCGTATCACGACTCAGCTGCTGCTGGCTTTGGAGTTTATTCATCAGAAGGGGATTGTCCACCGCGACCTTAAGCCGGAGAATTGTCTTCTTTCGGGGGGTGATTTAGTATGTAAGATATCTGACTTTGGTTTTTCTGTTCTTGTGTGGTCGGACCAGTGTCTCATGTCTTTCTGTGGCACCACCGTCTTTATGGCGCCGGAGATATTTTGTGAGGCCAGCTACGGGAGGCCGGTGGATATGTGGGCCCTAGGTGTGATGGTGTACCTTATGGTCACTGGGGAGTACCCATTTACGGGGCGAAATCAAAAGAGCATCACCGAGGCCATATGCAATGCGCGTTGTAACCTAAAAACGGGCAAGATAGCGGAAACATCTTCGAACTTGCGTGACTTCATATCAAAGTTGCTCGTGGCAGATCCCACCCGCCGCCTTAGCGCGCGTGAGGCGTTGAAGCAGCCATGGATTAAAATAGGTATGAGTATGGAAGATTCCACAGTTGAGGAGATGGATTCGGAAAAATGCGGTTTGCGACCTCGAAGTATTTTTCGGGCCGCCGTCATTGCCCTTATGGCTGCGCACCGCCTATGTTATCTTCGCTACTGTCGCATGCTGGAACATAGTGGCTGTGGCGCCTGCACAGTATTGCATAACTTTCGTTTTGCGGTCTCAGGGGTGTATGAACCGCCCAACCCCACGCTTGATTGCAGTGGCGTCTTTGCGAAACACCCGTGCGGGGTGAGTTTCTTGTTGCCCATGGTGGAGGCCAGCCGCACCATTGAGACGCTTGACCTCAGTAGCAACAACATCGATAGCCTCGCTGTATTCCAGCAGTTGGCAAAGACGGTCAGCCAACATCCAACACTGCTCTCGCTGAACTTATCCTGCAACCCTGTTCCCGCGCTCGCTGGTCGCAGTCTCCTTCGTATTGCGCGGAGTCCGCAGTCAAAGTTGCAGCACTTGGGTCTGGATGGGGCCTTCATCTCCTCAGAGACCCTCTCGCAGATATCGGCTGCTCTCAAGGATAAGTCTGGAGCATCCTCTTCTCCTGCCTTCACCCCCCAGTTGACTCCGACAACACGCAGCTTGGACTCCAACAGTTCCACATGCCTAAAAACCGTTTACGCCTCCACCTCACGGCAAAAGTATGGTCGTGTGCACTCCTCTTTTCCCCAACCTCGGTCTCTAAAGGTATCCGCACCACGTCTCCCACCCATTTCTCCTGCGAAACGTTGATCAAAGAAGTAAAAGGCACAAATACGTCATTTACTCACAGTCAGCGCGTTTTTCATGGTGCGTGCATTACCGCCTGCGCCGCGGCCACGTGTCCGCTTGGCACCAGCAATAAAAAAGGGGGCGGATGATGAAGAGACGAAAATGCATGTGCCCATGGCACTCTGAGAGTTAGCAAAGAAGAAGACGAATAAAAGTTTGCCTAATAGCAACGAGAAACAAAAAAGAAAAATAAACAAACAAAACTCAAAATAGACACGAAAAGCTACGGGGTCTTGGGCCGAACGACATGGAGGGAGTTGTTCATGGAAGAAAAAAAATACCTTCAGCAGGTGCAGTCTTTTTTTTTTTTTTTTTTCATGCATGACACCTAAAAAGAAAAAAAAAGAAAAAGAGAAAACACCAGCACCAACGAAAAAATGAAGTGGTTGGGGTAAAACGTTCTCGTCAAGGCATCAACGGTATCGATGTATGAGGCACAACATTGCTTTATTTGTCCACCTCTTTTGGTAAGCTTAGAAGGGTGAGGTAAAGGAGGTGGAGTTGCTTGTCTCCTCTCGCTGTGCACAAGAACCAGAAGGAAGGGACATTCATATCTCTCATACAAGCACATAGGCGCTTACATATACAGAAAGATCAGTCAGAGTAATGGAAACATCCGCCTCCTCTGCGCTAGTGATCTGGGGGAGCACGGGCAAGCGGCTGCAGTTTACCCGACAGGACCTTCAAATGCCCGAGAGCGTGAAGGAGAGACCTAATTATCACTTTTTTGAGAAGCAGTGGGACTCCGTGGCCGGATTTTGGATGAACCGCGTCCTAAAGGAGGTGGCCTTGCAGCACCTTACCGTGGAGAATATTGTGAAGTTTATCGTGAGCGACATCGAGAGGCGATGGGAACAGCGGAAGAAGGAGAAGGCACTCTACAAGAAAATAAAGCGGCTACTTGAATATGGCAACATGAACGCCGCTGGGGCACCTTCGCCGCATGTTCTTATCACCAACGTTGTCTCTCTCGATTCCTACCGGCGATTGCTGGCGGAGGGCACGCTGCAGGAACTGGTGGCGGCAGTGCTGGAGAAGGTGGAGGAGGTCGCAAAGGAGAAGGTGGCGCATCACACGATTCTAGTAGATGATGAGGGCGACACCAACACCAACGGCAATGACGACATCAGCGGCACTGACGCCGAGAAGGTGCGGGAAAAGAAGAAAGAACCGCGCGGTGACGCTGATGTCGAGGACGGAGGCAAGAACCAGGCGAAGGCAAGGAAGAGGCCACGGCCTGAGCAGTGCACGGATGTGTCCTTTGATGACCATGTCGCCTTTGTGTGTACACTTTCCTCAGAAGCAAAGGCCGCCAGGGTTGTCAGTGAATTGCACGGCAGCATGTTTGACTCTCGGGCGGTACTTTGTCGTTTTTACGCCTTGTAGTCCTCTAAAAAACACACACATTTATTCGCCGTCACAGAAACAACTCGTTCGACAGGAATCTCTCACCTTTTGTCGCATATATATATATATATATACATGTGCATGTGTGTATTCCCTCTTTCTGTATGTATGCGTGTGTGCGGGCGTGGGTGCTTGTCTAACTTGTTCCTATTTCTTTGCATTGAACGAGGCGGTGTGCGCAGTTGGTCGGGCGCAAACAGCGACACGCGGTGCTGCGCCATCAATTTACTTCTGCATGCGTGATGGTTTTTGCCACCCACAGTGCCGTTTTTTTTTTTTTTTTTGGGAGGTTCATTAGTTGGAAATGCCTCCGCTGCTGCGGGGGGGCGCTGGCCGTGTGGGGATTTCAGCCTCATCTGCATTGGCGTCTATGCGGCGGGCGACGACGGGCGAGCATCACAGTTACCGTCCTGGTCGTCTTGCGCGAGTATTCCGCCGGTTGTACGTTTTCGTCACCCCGCGTAGTTTCCATAAAAGTTTGGCGACAAACTTGCAAGTAGGCATGGAGCGGGTGCAGGAGTTGGAGCGGGAGCAGTTGTGGTTGAGGCAGCACGGCTCCCCGCTGCGCGTGATGGGGCTGCCCGAGCACGCAGAGCTGACGGAGGTCCGCTCACGTTACCGGGATCTCGTCTTTGCGACACATCCCGACACTGCAGAAAGGGAGGCAAAGACGCAGTATGACATGATTCAGACGGCGTACAAGATGGCGACCACGCCGACAAGCTTGTGGCATCAAAACGGGTCCGCCCCTGCTCTTTACCGTAGTCTTCGGGGCACCTCGAAAGGTCTCACGTGGCGTGTGGATTGCGTCACGCTGTTTGCGCTCTTTTCGTACGCCGTGATGGGCACTGTGGGGATTATTTTCTCTCTTGTTGTGGTACGTCAATTTCTCGAGCTGGCGCTGCGCTTTTTCGATCCCGAGTTCTACGCATTTCTGGTAGCGCAGGAGAAGGAGGAGGAGCGCCAGCGGCTGGCGGGAATTTCAGTGGACACCGACCCAAAGCGTCTTGCACCGACGGTAGTGAAGCGGCTTTTATTCCCCGGCCGGTTTGTACACAACAACAAGGGCGGTGGGAACGAAGCGGGAAAAGAGGCAGATGAATGACGACTACGCCGTTTCTTCTTCTTATGCTTGATTTTCTTATATTCCACTCACCGCTTACATTTGGTGTATCTCTGCATGGGCTTGTTTTTGAGGGCGGGGTGCTTTTCTTTGTGTCTCTCCTCCTCTCTGTGCGTGGAGAAGGAGGTGGGGGGGATTTATTAATTGCTGTCTTTTTACTCCACAGTCTCTTTTTCTTTGCTTTCCGCGCAACTTCTGTTGTCTCTGCGGAAAGCTGTTGTTTTTGTTTTTGTTTTGGGACGACTGAGCGGTCGTCTGTCTGCTTGTGTGTGAAGAGTGTGCACACCTTTGCGCTCCCGTGAGGCGCACTAGTAGTTGTCCCCGCCCACTTTGGGGCTAGGGTGAAGAAGGGCACGCACGTACACACAAGGAACGTGCAGCTCAAACAGTCACCGCCACCAGCACTGGAAAGGAACACACGAGAAGGAAAAAACAAGCGAGGGCGTTAACGCGCCATACCAGCCTCCATGGACTTCCCTGAAAAGGGGAAGCGATTTGAATCTTTTTCAAGTGTGGACTCACTCACATCTCCAAAGGGGCCTCCGTCTAAAACTTGTAGCGTTTCCAGCTTTGGTGAGCAGGGGATTGATGACAGGTACGAGGATACTTTTATAGTGGGCGAGTACCGCTTGTCCTCTTGCCCCATTTGTTTGGAGCGGTTCACGCTAGACAACCCTGCGATTGTCTTTGTGTGTGGGCATGGCTTTCACCTGCAGTGTCTTGAGGGTTGGAGGCAGCGGGCCGCCATATGTCCTGTCTGCATGAAGCCCATGCTCGGTGAGGGGATTCCCATGATGTCTGCTCGTGATACACGGCGGCGACGGCGCTACAAGGGCGTCAATAGTGCCGGCATGACTTCAACTTCTGCGGAGGAAAGCAATGTTCCTGGCGTCTGTGATAAACCAACTGTTGGGGGATCCCATTATGGCACCATCTAGATGTGAGGCTTACCGAGAGGAGGAGCAAATGACAAACAACAACAGGAACGATGGTGTCATGTGGCCTGTGTTGGCCTTGCTGGGTTACTTCTCCCGGTGGTGCTCTCGCAGTAGGGAGTAATACAGTCTTTTCGTGCCTTTAAGACCTGTGCCAGTGTGAGAGAGAATAATAAAACCTACATCAAAGCAAAAACCAAATGCCAATCCCAATGCAGTGTCAGTACAAACTATAGCAACAGTTCTAATTCTTTTCCTGCTTCATGCTTTGCACTTCATTTTTTCTTTTCCAATCTTCCTCAACAGTGTGGGAGAGGCAGAAGAAGCTCTGAGGAGCCGAATAGGTCCCCGACTGAGATAGAGGAAGAGGTGTGAGAGGGAGGGAAAGAGAGAGGGAGAGAGTGAAGTGGTAAGCACGTCACTCCTGCTGCCTGGACCCATCTTAAGCTCATGGGTCGAACTCAAGTGGATGGAACAAATAATCAGATGCGCTGAAGTATGTGGTTCAGGGAAGTCCCACTCAGTTTTTTTCTTTCCCTACTCTTTGGCGTGCAATGGCTTTGTAAAGCACATTTTTGTTTCTTTGTTTCTCCCTCCTTTCTGTCCCCGGGCCACCATGTGATGATCGAGGCGTCAAAGCACACGTCTTTCTTCGACCCAAACACGTGCCACACCCTTTTCTATAAGGAGTGCGGGGATATTTGTGCGTACGCGTACGCGTCTGTGGATGTGCGAGTATTATCTTCCAATGTTTTCATTTTGACTCCTTTTTTTTTCCCCACTGCCTCCTCTTTCTTCACTTATTTTGTTGCTTTTTCTGCGTAATTCTTCACTCTTGCGTAGCGGGGGGTGGCGTGAGGCGTGGGGCATGAGTGCAGGTGACCAGGCCGACGAGACACTTGTGAGGCCGCTGCCCGTGTGGCTGCGCGATGTGATACCGTCAGACTCGTCGGCTGAATTGCCTGTGACCGAAGGCTCAGCGTTGAGGGATAAGTCCGGAGATGCCCCAATAAACGGGGCAGGTAGTGTAGCTTCGGAGGCATTTACGCATATTCTCGCCGAGTTGCGGAAGCAATCCGTGTACATGAACGAAATGAGGAGGGCTCTTGCAAAAAAGGAGGCGTACCAAACCTGCTTTGATGTGCTGACGATGGTTGGCGTCGTGGTGGACGCCGTTTGTGAGGGGACAATGACTCATGTGCGAAGTACGGTGGAGTACACGGGTTTGCTTTCCACAGTCACTCTCAGTTTCGTCTCCGGGGAACTCTCTATAGTGGTGGAGGAGGCTGAGAAAGACGTGAACTTTTCGGGTATGAGTTTCAACGGGAGCTGCATCTTGGGCTGCCACCTCGCCGTAGGTGCTCGTGGCTGCCGTGTTATTATCAACGTCGACCCTGAAAAAATCACAGATGTGACGCAGCTGACGCTCACCGCTCGATCCGAAGAGAAAACGAGGGAGCTGTACCAGGCCCTGGCGGCCCTGCGCGGCTGTGACAGTTCGAATTCCAGCTTGTGTTTGCCCACGCCCCCGTCGCCGCCAAGGGCAGGGTTGACGCCGGCTTTGATCCCGGTGGATGACTGTGTTTTGGTGCCGCAACCCTCTGCGGCACAGCGAGAAGTTGATATGAACAGCCAAAGTCATTTGCATGTTGATTATACCCCGACAATGCGCTATTGGAGGAAGCCACCACTCCCACAGGCGGAGACCCTGCTGCGTGGATCGGTGCTTGTGCAAAATCCGTCTCATGGGGAATGACATCGATGGGCAGCCATCAGCGTACGGAGGCAGCGGCAGCAGCAAGGGGGGATGGGGGCGTGCAGTGGTTGGAAACAGCAACCAAGCTGAATAAATCCAGAGATAAAAACAAAAGAATTAGTTTCTTTTTTTTTTTCTTGAAATGATGGACGAGGCGAAAGCGACGGCTTCGCCGCCAAAAAAATTTTACATTGTGCTTTTGATGTCCCCCATCCTCTCATGCTCTCAGCGATACCTGTCGCCTGGCACATTGAGCTTGGCTCCCATTTTGGTCAACCTTTTTGTTGTGTGTGTGTGTGTGTGTGCCGTAAAGGCAAAACTACGGAGCATTTTTTGATCTTGTGTGTAGCTGTGTGCGGGTCCTCTCACTTTCTGCGTGGTTGTGGTGCATTTGTTTGTCGCAGCTGAGGGCAGCATTGACAGAGTCAATATCAGTAGAAGCAATGAACGTTCCTTCCGCTGACGCCACGTGTTTGGCGACGATCATCGATTCAGTGCAATTTGCGATGCAAGAGGGGCCTATAGCGGAGGGAAGAGTGGTTGATCTCCTCGCACTCATACCAGAGGTGTTTCGAGCTGACACCTCTGGCTCTCGTATGATTTACCTCATGAGCGTTTGTCAGCCTCTTGCCACCGTGGTGCGTCTGATGCATCCCTCTCTGCAGAGCCCAGTCATTAGCATGGCGGCAATGAGTGCATTGCTGGAGTTTCTCACGTGGTGCGTGGAGTTGCCTGAATTCCCCACCGTTGCGGCGGCTCTAACGTCTAGTCTTATGGAGACGAGTGCCCTGCATACCATTCTCGATGCCCTTTTAAACAATGGGAACGAGGTTATGATGTTTTTGGCAGCAGAGCTACTGTTTCTTCTTGTGGCACGGTTTTCTGTGTTTGGAGACGCGTTGGGTGAAACTGTTGGAGCACTCGCCCGTATCAGCGCGTTTGTTCTCGATCCGGGCGCTCCTCTTTCGAAGGTTCGCGAGTATTTGGCGGGTGTGCTGCGTATCTGCGCCGGTTTGGCTCCTTCAAAATTGCCACCGACGTTCCTTCCGGAGGGTTTAGTTTTTCTTGCCGCGCACACTGACGAGCAGAGTCGGATGCTCCTTCTCGTGTCAGGGTGCGTGGAGGTAGTGGCGAATTGTCTCCCGCAACTTTACCTGCAGCATGTGCGGAAGGGGAAGTGCGAATTGCTAACGAACATCGTGTCGATGTTGGCGAGCTCCGAAGGAAAGCGGCGTCAATGCCTGGTAAGTCTTCTTGGCACATTGTTGCGAGTGGAAGGGGAGGCAGGTGTTGTGGATATTGAGCATCACACAGCCGCCTACAAGGCGATTCTTGCGGGGAAGCAGATGTGGATCTCGCAGCAGGCGGTTCTTCGGAACATTGATGTCATGTTTTTTGCAGTTCATTGCGCTCTAACGGAAGTGGTTCAAACTCACATCTCCTCTGCCCTGGTGCGTGTCTTTCCCTACTTTTGTCGCACCATATTGGAGGGAGCTCAGACGTCCAGGCGTCATGCCACGCTTGTTCTTGCCCTTGCACTCGCTAAACACCCTCCGTTGCGTTCTACTGTGTTAAACCTCACTCGCACGTATGCGGAGTGGTCGGGGCACCTCTTACAGTGCATCACTGACGCTCTCTCTGGCACTCTTGGGAGAAGTTTAGCTATAGTCGATGCGACGGGGATTGTCCTTAATGATCCAGCCACGCTACCATCGGATGACACCGCGGATATTAACGCGTGGGCGGACTCGGTGCTGGTGCTTCAGGAGCAGCGTGGGGCACCGCGCGGTGGGTCACAGGAAGGCGTGGGCGAGGCTCTTGAGCGCATAAGATGCGTCCCGCCCGAGTACACATTCTTCTTTTTATGCAGTGGGGCGCTTCTCACAAGGGCGTGTCAAAGGAGTTTTCTTGGGTGTGGCGTTTCGAAAGAGACAACAAAGAAGGGATACAAGCAGGGACTCTGGCCGCGCGGCGGTGGGTTTCGAAAGCAGAAGTCTGGTGGCGTTCCTGTGGTGCATGCTCGGAAGTAAGAAACTGGGGACGCCAGCCGACGTTGTATTTTTCCATCTGATGATACCACTATCACGGCCGCCACTATTAAAGGCAAAGGCAGGGGCAACACGAGGGATTGTGCTTTTAGCATATGGCAGCCATTGCACCACCTACCCACGCTAGTTGGCGACTACTTTGACTGTGCGCGGTGTCACTCGCCGTGTCGAAGGATACGCATGCCAGGCGGGTGTGTGACTGCAGAAGCTTCATCGCGACGTTAAACGTTCATGGATTTTAAAGGATAATCTTCCAGGCGAGATTTATGTTCTTTTTTTTTTTTACCGTTTCACGAATTGACGGCGGAGCGTGTGGGAGAGGAGGTTATAAATATGGGGTGCTTGGCGCGGGACGTGTTGCGGAAACTCGTAAATGACCCCAACATCACAGCGGGATCGGCGATATTTTTTTGACGGACGTGGCCAACAACAACCTCCCCAAGACTGAGTTGCTTCTCCGTAGGCTAACATATATGCCACGACGTCACGGACAGGACGGAATTGTGCATATGCTGGCGCTGATACGCACGCTGCACACCTGTTCGCCGGACGAGGCTGGCGCCGCAGCGGCGATAAGGACAGTGGATGTGCCTTGTGGGGTCACAGTGCCTTTGGAGTCTGTCTTCGGCGATGCGATGCATTCCGGTAACATTGTGTATTGCATCACACGACTGCGTGGGCGTTTTAGTGGAGATGTTTGAACCCACCAGGAGGAAAGGGAAAGTCACGAGTAAGAAACTGTGCAGGGAAAAGTGACAGAACAAACGCTTTTTTGTAGCGCTGCGGGTCGCCAGTATTATTATTATTATTATTATTTTGTGTCTCAGCACATCCGTTACTCCTTTGGGGGTGACAATTATTATTATTATTTTTTTTCCTCTGCCATTGTTGACATGTGAGTTTTTTGTTTTGTTCTCCGTTTCTCACTCCAGGCACACTGTCAATGGGGCACACGACCCTCGTGGTGTTTTCCTTTTCCTCTTTTATTCCTCTTCTCAGGAAGAGAATAAGGAACGGGGTGAGGGGCACAACTTGGACGGAGTTTTTCAAAGAAATGATGCGTTCGAGACAGAGCTGCAACGATGCATCGGGGTAAACTCTTGTAACCTGCTGTGTGAGTCATCTGGCACTTCTTCCTGCCATGAGGCACTTTCAAAATCTAAGCATGCGCTATGAGGTCTGCGTATCGTCATTTGTTGCCATTTTTTGTTTTGTTTTTTTTGTTTCACCGCACCTCCGAGAGTCTAAGGGTGCCGTTTTTTTTTCTATCCACCCTGCAGTGGCATTGTTTGGGCAGCGTTGGGACCATTTTATCTATAACTATTGTATCTCCTTCATTTGTGCTGTTTTGAGTCGGGGAAGCTGCTGGATTGCCTAAAGTATGCCTTCTTTTTTTCGGTGATTGTGCTCCAGGGAGCAGATCTTTGGAACATCTTCTACACCACCGGGCCCATTTTAGTTGCGGCCTCGACGCTGCTTATGCCAATTCTCTTGTGCCCCATGCGGCGAAGGCACATCGCAGGGAGGAACATCGACATGGGCATGGCTTCATTTCTATTGACAGTATTATTATTATTATTATTATTATTATTTTTGAGCTTGACGAAAAAGAAAAAAAAGGACAAGTACCGCGTGTGGCATGGTCTCTTCCATGTTTTTTTGTGGGAACTGCCATGCATAATGTTTTTCTGGCTCTTGGGAATCGGGGCAAAAACAACAAGGAAATGGGCCGGTGAGCTCTCAGTTTTGAAATGTGACAACTGCAGGCTCTACCCCTGAGAATAGTAACTCTCTTTCCTTCTCTCTCTCTCTCTGTGTGTCTGTGTGTGTGTTTTCTGTTTTGCTCAATAATAATAATAATAATAATTGCTAGAGTGGTATCATTTTGTTGTGACGCCTATTATTATTATATTCTTTTTGTGACAGGCATATATTTATATGTAAATATACATGCGAGATGGTATGGGCGTATCTATCTCTGTGTGAAACTGTGTATGGTATGGTTCTTTGCTCTCATGGCTCTTCACGTGTGAGCGGAATTTATCTGACGCGAGTGTTCATTGACTGAGGCCAGTCTTTCCTTACTGTTCTACTTTTAGTTACGTGTCGTGTAGGGGGGCGGGTGGTGCGGAGCAGACTTTTTCTGCTGCTTCAGGCATTACACTCTGTTTGCTAGTGTGCTGGTAGCTGTGGGTGTGTGTACGTGACAGGGCAGCGAAGGACGGGGAGGGGCACTAGCCAGCCGCGCTTGAGGTTGTTGTCGCATATATAATATATATATATATATATTGGTTTGACATTACTAAAAGTTTGTTTGTTGGCCGGGGAGCCGAGTAGTAGTGGGGGAGTGGCAGTGTGTTTGCTCAAGATGAGGGATGACCCAGCGTGGGCCCTGTTCGCAACGACGGTGGTGAGCCACCTTCCAATGATCCCTACGGCGTATTTGTTTTTACAGCGTCGTTATGTGTACGAGGTATGCATTGCGGCCTTTGGTCTTTCCTCTTCGCTTTTGTACCACACCTGCCAGTCGTTCGACGCGACGATATTTCTCGACGAGCTCGGCTGGCACCGCCTGGACAACATTGCCGTTCTTGCGTGGATGGGCATGTGGTTCGTGTTCATCTGTACCTTCAAGGACCCTGTGGTGGAGCGCGCCTCCAAGTACTTCACACTGCTGGTGAGCATTATTTTTGAGGAGAAGGACCCATGGAATCTGGCGTACACTGTGGCACCCATTCTTGTTTTTGCGTGTATTCCGCTTGTTGTGTTTCTATATGATGGACGGCTTCCGGTGGTTGATTATCGTCATCTCTTAGCGGCTGCCTTACTTATGGGGCTTGCCGTTCCGTTCTTTATTGCCGGGCTTAACGATGCGAAGGACCCCTGTCGCATATACCACGGCTTGTGGCATCTTCTTGGCGGCATCGCTTCCTACTTCATGTGGATGATGGTGAAGACGCCGGGTGCCACGGGCCCGTACCCCAAAATGGGTTCCATTGTCCTTCACAGGGATACACTTCTCTAACAACTGCACCTCATATAGAGAGCGATAAGCCTACAGCAGAGGAAGAATAGTAATAAATGTATGCGTGCCTTTATAAGTGTAACTTGAATCACTTGCCTTCTGAAGGCGCAGATGATGGACGTTTCTGGGTTTGAGCTTCTTTGTGGGTTCGACCTTGACGGCGATGAAACTATCACCACAACACAAGAATTCAGTAGAAATGGCGGGTTAACAGTGGCAAGAAGAAATAGGTAATTGGAAAAGGATGGATCGGGGTATGTGTCGGGTTTGGTATTTTTCACCGTACGCGTCTGTGGTGCTGAGGACGTGGAGGCGACTTGTAGGCTTCGCGGCCTTACGGAATTCAATTGAAAAAATGCCTTCAGTCATATTTATCTGTCTTAATTATTCTCCCCACTTTTTTCTTTTTCTTCTTTTACAGCTGCACGGAAGCAACCACCAACTAAGGAAAATGGTGTGATGCGCCCCAGCGGATAACTGAGTTGATACTTTTCCCTCGCGTGGCGTGGCTCCCCTCCCCCACAAACGGCGATAGTGCCTCCACAGACACTTTAGGACTTTGCTGTTTTGGCTTCAGCACCGCGATGGGTGTTTTTTTTTTTTTTTTATTGTTGCCGTCACATTGCCTTTTAGCGTCCGCGAACGTCTCACCACTGCACATGACGGCGTTAGTAGTAGTGGCCGAAGCGTCTGCGCGGCCGTGAGTGTGGCCTGCTTCATCGGTCACACTTGAAAGAGAGGAAGGTGGTTGTGGTGGGGTGCGAGCTCTCATGCTGCGCCTGAAGCACCGAAAGCTGATGGGGCGTGTCTGTGTGGTTAATGGCTGGACGCGCGCGGTGTGTGAACGTCATGTGGAAGCCCTGTTGACGTTTGAGAGTGTCGCATTAGACCTGAGAGCCCCCTAAAATATATTTGTGAGAGGCTCCTGCTAGTGGTGTGCCTAGATGGGTATCGGCGTGCACCACGGTAGTGATGCTGCACCATGTGCGGTACGCGTCAAGTCGAACAAAGGGGAAACGATAGCTCGGATTACTTAATCAACTACACGAACGAGGTGTTCAGCAAAAGAAGAAATGCTAAGCGCTGTGCCGCACGGTGTGCACCCTATTGCGCATTTGGATGATTTTTTTTTTTTTCATATTATTCATTACTTTTTTTTTCCTTTGATGCACCACTCTCTTTTTCTGATGTGTGCGTGCGTGCCTTTGCGCCTCTTTGTGTTATTATTATTATTGCAGTTGCGGACTTCCCTTTTTTATTCATTTTTTATCTTTTTGAACGCACACGGTCATTCGTGGTGGGTCTGTATCACGTACGACAGGGATGGCAGAGCCTGAGGAAACGCTGGGCAGGTTGGACGCCGTTATGGACGCCATGCGGGTCGCCGTGGCGAAGATGGAGAGCGAGGGGGCGACAGACACGCGTGACGTCATGAGGCAGGCAACGGGGCTGCAGTGCGCGCTGCACATCCTCTCAAGGGAGGCGACGGCGACTGAGCTTAGTGAGGAGAAGATGCGAAGAGATGGCCTGCTTTGATGCTCGCACGCTGTTGTCACCCTGCTGCAGGGTCGCCGCCCCGGAACTTGAAATGCTGGAGTCGGATGATGCATCTCTGTGTGCATTGGCTTTCGTTGTTTCCTCTCTTTCTGCACACCGCGGTGACGTAGAAGCAACCGCGTCCGTGTTCTCCATCCCGCTACCAGTATTCTGCCAACAACCAAAGAAACGAGATACTTTTTATTATTATTATTTTTGTTTTTGTTTTTATTTTTGTGCAACTGAAAAATAGAGAAACACACGCACACACACAAACACACGCATAAAAAAAAAGGGGGCGGGAGGGATAAGAAAGGCGGTAAAAGTAAATGAGCTCAGAAGATAAGACACGTGGTTGCTTGACAAAGGCTCAAACGTTACGGGCTAGCGGCAACTACAAGGATGCAGTGACCGCCCTTCAGTCGTTATCGGAACATGGAGTTCCGTGGGGGCCAATGTACGTTGCTGCCCTTGACTTACTTGCGGAGCTCTGCTTCAGCCAGGAGCAGGGCATCACGGTGGATCGCTTCCTTCCCGCCTTCAGATGGAACCGCTATAAACTGCGTGGATCTCAGCATCTGGAGGAAGGGACCAAGCGAATGGTTGAAATAACCTTGAAACACCTCCGAGCGCTGGGTGAGAGGTCTCAAGCAAATGCCAAGGCTGCGGGGGAGAATCCTGCGGAGGAGGATCTGATCTTCGCAGCTCTCTCAGGGGTGTCGCCGGAGCAGCGGGCGAAGGAACGCTATCTTGTTCCTGCAGAGAACGCCACACAGTTGGTGGGTAACGAGCTACTTGGTTTCAACGCTATTGGTCATTCGATGAAAATGCTTCCCATCTACCTTGATACTGCCACGGAATTGATTACGTACTGCCAACAGCGCAACTTAAAGCGTGCTATTGGACGTATCGCTGACGCATACGTGCGGTTTTTTAAACGGTTCCTGCTTAGCCCTATCCCGTCGACAGTGGAGGGTGATAATCCACACCTGATTGCAACGTATAAGGAATTGGAGGCAGATCGGGAAAGTTTTTATAAGACAGTGACGATCGCAGAGCGTACGGTTCAAGTCTTCTGTCACCTTCTGCAAACCTTAGCCTCCATGAATAATTGGAATGCTGCATGGTCAACACTGCAGTGTTTTACACGAGTTATGCAGGAGATTACACAAACCCCTGAATCCTTTAGGGAGTGCCAGACTCTCGCCAATTTGGCCATGGCCTCTGTCTTTTGGAGGTGCTCACACTACGCGTTTCATGCCCATTGCCTAGGTATTGCCGCCTTTTTGATCGATGATAAGGAAAATGTTATGGAAACAGCTTCCAGGGCAGTTTTGGCAACCCTCTGTACACCTAATATTAACAGGGAACGAAAAAGTTTTGGGCGCGGATCCGATTCAGTGCTTGAAAAGAATGCTCGCATTGCCCAGCTCTTTGGGCTTCAATCAGCCCCTGCAGGGTTGGCCCTTTGGCAGCGACTTCAACGGATGGAAGTCCTTCAAAAGGCCCACCCGGAAGTGCAGGCACTGGATAATTTACTACGCAATGAGCTGGTGGATGAGGAGCTTGCGAAGCAAGCCATTAAACAACTCTTTGTGATTGTTCAGAAGATTCCTGGTCTTGTGATGTACGAAAAACCACTGCGGAAAGTTATTCTTCAGAGGTACCTGGAGTGCATGGCCGCCCAGACAACCCGTGTGGAGGCGTCTTCGCTTCAAGTAGGGGAGACGGAGGCCTCGGTGGAGGTTTACATCCATGAGATTGAGCCTTACATTCTGAATGAATCAGGGCTTTCGGTAGAAATCGATCACAAGACCGGGTCGATATCGTTCACTCACACGGCGAAAACGAGGGTGCTTGAGGCATTCAATGCCTTGGCTGAACACGTCGATCGGCATCCTGCCGCACCGCGATGGAAACTCGACATCCGACCTGAGCAGCTGCAGCGAGCCCATGACAGAAGCAGCGTTTTTCACTGCCTGCAGCAAATTTGCGAAGAGACTGCGGAGGCCCGACGACAGCGTGCCAAGGAAAAGGAAGACGAAGATCGTGAGAATGCCAGGCTGGAGCGTATTCAGAATGAAGAAAAGAAAAAGGAAGCAGTCCGCCTGGCGCATGAGGCTCGGGGCCTTGCAGAGTACCAAGAGCACATAAACCAAAATCGGCGCAAGCTTGCACTGCGCCGCTTGCAGGAAAAGTACAAGGGATTTGTCGCCCCGCCTACGTTGATTCAGAAGAATTCGACGGACTTTGTTCAGGAATTGACGATGCGGCTGACGGAGCACCTGAAAAGAACAACACAGCAGAAGACGGCGGACGTCACTAAGATGAACCACTTTGAGCGGGCATGCAGAGAACTTGAAATTCCAAAACGAAAGGCCCTTGAGCTCGAGGAAGCGGAACAGCACAAGGCAGAGCGGGCGGCGGCGCGGGAGAACTTCATTATTCATCACCGTAAAGAGTTTGAGAAACGCCAACTGGACAATCAAATACTAAAGAAATTTCTAAAGGAGGCTGCTATCTTTGCAGAACAAACACAAATGAAAGGAAAAATTTCTAAGCGTGATGAGCAACAGATGCTTCTCCAGCAGGAAAAGGAGCGGCTGCAAGGGTTGTAGAAGGGTATGGGGAAGCGCCTCAATTCACGGTTTTCACTGCTTTAGGTAAAATTATCTTAAGTAAGAATCATTATAATTAAACGTAGCTCTATGTGTGTGGCTGTACTGCACTTTCATCTTGCTCTGACTGTTTTTTTTTTTCTTGTTTTGCTTCCCCAACTCCCCTTTTCTTTCCCCCTCCCAACAAGAGAGGAGGAGAAAAATGAAAAATAAAAAGAAAAGAAAAAGGAGATTGGGAACTGTTTTTGCCTCTTCCCATGTCCTTTCTTTATTATTATCGTTCCTGGGACTTTTTTTTTCCCACTTCTACTGCGGCTTTTTTTAGCGGGATGTCTCAAAGAGTCCTCAATTGAAGTTTGGTCTCATAACTCTAAAAGGGGGGAAAAAAAAGATTCTGGACAATGGCTTTAATTTTGTCTGCGCCAGGCCTACACACGCGTAGTGGCTGCATTTTTGTTTTTTTTTGTTTTAGTGAGACTCTATGGAAACGTCTTGCGACAATTCTGACTGGGCCCACACGATTTCAGGTTTTCCCTTCTACACTGGCACACGCACAGCGGGCAGCGTTGACGGCGCCATGCTAATTCGTTGGAGTTACTCCGGAAAGGTGTTTGGGCACATCTTCAACGAACTTGGGAGGAATTTTGAGAGACATTATATGACCGGTGCAGGCTCTGGCGTTGTGATGGTGAACGGCACCGTCGTGTTCCCCATGGAGGCATTGAACGATAAGACACGAGAGTACATCTCCACGATTGTCTCCTTATCAAGCGACGGCAAACGAGGGACCATGGCGAAAGGTGTGCCCAACACAGGCTGCTCATACACAACCGTCGTGGAGAAGCAGGACGGAGAGCTCCTCATGATGATCTCCTGCAGGGATGGGGTGCGCCGGGTGTACGAGCCCAGCGACATGGGGGAGACGTGGACGGAGGCGCTCGGGACGCTTTCACGCGTGTGGGGGAACTCACCCCATCGCACTGGGTACGGCGACCAAGACGGTCTCGTGACCGCGACTATTGAGGGAAAGAAGGTGCTCCTGCTTACACACCCGGTGTATCCCAATAATGGAGGATTTTTTGCCAACCGAATCCACCTTTGGCTTTCCGATGGTGCCCACATCTTTGACGTTGGCCCGATATCTGTCGAGAGCAAATACAATTCCACTTCCAGCACTCTGCCGTACACCAACGGCGAGTTGTTTTCGCTCTACAAGCGGAGCGACCACGGCAGGGAGCGCTTTGTTCTTGTGGGGCTTGGCGATCAGCTGAATCGCACAAAAGAGGTGCTGGTAAAGTGGGAAAAGGCTGGACAATGATTCCTCCAAGCTCTGCGGGTCCTCGGATGTGGGTAGTGCGTGTGGCGCTTCCAGGCTGGTTGGCTTTTTGTCCGATACAAGCTCTGCCACCCACTGGAACGACGAGTATCTCTGCGTGAATGCAACGGTGCATGGTGCGACGAAGGTCGAGCACGGCTTTAACTTCAGCGGGGTCAATTCGTGGGCGAGATGGCCCGTGGGCGAGCAGGGGCCGAACCAGCGGCACCACTTCGCCAACTACAACTTTTCTCTTGCGGCGGCAGTAACCGTCAATGAGCTGAAAAGGAATGCCTCGATGTTTGGTGTGAAGTTTGACGGCACCGTCAGCACACGCAACCGCCTTGGATTGTTGTGCAGCAACGATAATAAATGGGTGGTGAGAAGCCGAACTGGGGAGAGGAGGTTGGTGCACGCCGCCGCGTGTGAGTCCAATAAACAATACCACGTGCTTCTCACACTCAAGGATGACAGGTTTTTCTTCTACGTTAACGGCGAGTCACTGACGCTTGAGGATGGGCAAAACGAGGTGCCGAAGAGCAGGGAGAACGGGGAGATCACGCACTTCTACTTTGGGGCAGACTATTGCGCATGAGTAACGCTGACAGCAAGGTAACGGTGAAAAATGTTCAGTTGTGCGACCACCCAGAGCATATCGTTGAACGGGGCACACCCAAGAACGGTGCCAGGCCTAGTGAGGATGCGGGTGACAGTATTATGCGTGTACATAGTTTTTGAGTGCTCTTGCTGCTCCTGGGGCTCTGGATTCTTGCGGATTTTTGTTGAGTCAGCGAAAATGTTCTTTTTCTTTTCAGTGAGGGACGCGTGGTGCTTCGCCCGCACACTCATTTTTTTTTGTTCTTGGAGCCTTGGTGCATTGACGTATTGTTTCCTTTCATGTAGTT